TGGTGCTATAAACCACATTTACCCTAGAAGGGATTGGTTCTCCAGCTTTAAGGAGTTGAAAAGAGAGAATGTCGTGCTTATGGGTAATGATCACGTATGCTCTATTGGTGGTATTGGTACAGTTCGGATTCGTATGTGTGACAGGGTGACTCGAGAGCTGAAGGAAGTAAGGTTCGTACCGCAGTTGACGAAGAATATTATTTTACTTGAAACTTTAAAGACAGCTGGCTATCGGGTGATATTAAAGAATGCAACTCTGAAGGTCATGAAGGGATCCATGGCGGTGATGCGAGGTGTTAGGGAAAATAACTTATACTATTTGAATGACAAGACAGTTACAAGGGGTCTGACAGCTTTTATCACTATAGAAGAGGATACTACCAGTTTATGACATATGCGTTTAGGACACACTGGTGATAAATCTCTATAGGCATTGGCGAAACATGGGCTATTGAAAGGTGCAAAGACATGTAAGATGGAGCTGTGTGAGCATTGTGTACTTGGGAAGAAGACGAGAGTAAAGTTTGGCACCGCTATTCACAATACCCAAGGTATATGAGCATTGTGTACTTGGGAAGAAGACGAGAGTAAAGTTTGGCACCGCTATTCACAATACCCAAGGTATATTGGACTACATTCACACAGATGTTTGGGAGAGTAAAGTTTGGCACCGCTATTCACAATACCCAAGGTATATTGGACTACATTCACACAGATGTTTGGGGTCATTCTAAGCACACATCATTTGGTGAGGCCAACTATTTTATCACTTTCATTGATGATTATTCCAAGAAAAATTAGGTATACCCTATGAAACATAAACATGAGGTCCTGGATATTTTGTGGAGTGGAAGAAGAAAGTGCAGCTACAGACAGGTAGAAAAGTGAAGACTCTTCGTTCGGACAATGAAGGAGAGTATAAGAGTGATCCATTTCTGCAGTTTTACCGGGATCACGACGTTAGGCGACACTTCACAGTTCGTGAGACACCGCAACGGAGCAGGGTGGCTGAGAGATTAAATCGTACCTTGTTGGAGAAGGTGCAATGTAGGATGACGCAGAGTGGATTGCCAAGATCCTTTTGGACCGAGACGTTGGTTTATACGACCATCTCGTGAATATATTATCGTGCAGTGTGATACAGGGGAAGACTCTTACAAAGAGTTGGTCTGGTTCGGTGTCTAGTGACTATGAGTCGCTTTGGATATTTGGATGTCCAGCTTATTACTATGTCAGTGATGGTAAATTGAATCCGAGGACAAAGAAAACAGTCTTTGTAGGCTTTAGAGAATGAGTAAAAGACTTTAAATTATGGGATCCACAAGACAAGATAGTTATTAGCAGAAATGTTACATTCGACGAGACGTACATAATGAGGCCTCAAGTCCCTCAGCAGGTTGAGGGAGACCAAACAAAAAGGATATCGTAGCAGGTGGGGGATGATGTGACTTCACCCATTTCAAATAGCATTGTATCCATTGAGGATCCTACAGAGGTGACATTGGGAGGAGATGGAATGACAGCTGGGCATATAGAGGATACAGTGGATAGTGAGACTCAGAAGCATGATCATATTCAGGAGTCCATTGCAGTAAACAGACCCAAAAGAGTGATTCGTCGGTCATCTAGATATAATGATGTCACGATTGCATATACCTTATCAGTAAAACTCGTTGATGATTTGATTCCTTCTACATTCAAGGAGGAAGAGTCAAGCTCTAATTCGATCAGATGGAGGGAAGATATGGAGGAGGAGATGCGATCTCTTTAGAAGAATGATACTTGGAAACTTGCAAAGCTATCGAAGGGTAAGAAGGCTATTGGATGCAAGTGTGTGTATGTAAACAAAGAGAGATTTTCTATTGGGGACATTTGGTACAAAGCCAGATGGTTGCCAAGGGTTATGCACAGCTTAAGGGCGTTGATTACAACGAGATATTCTCACCTGTTGTAAAGCATTCGTCGATTAGGATTCTGTTGGCATTGATGACACAGCTGGATTTGAATTTGATCCAGATGGATGTGTAGACAACCTGTCTACATGAAGATTTAGAAGGAGATCTACATGACACAACATATGGGGTTCAAAACTGTAGGAAAGGAAGAATTGGTGTGCAAGCTGAAGAAGTCTCTTTACGGATTGAAGCAATCGTCGCGACAATGGTACAAGAGATTCGACGGCTTTATGATTGGCCGAGGGTACACAAGGAGCCCATTTGACCCATGTATTTACATGCACAAGCTATAATATGGTGAGTACATCTATTTGTTATTATATGTTGATCATAAGCTTATTACCTCTAGGAATTCTTCGGCTATTCGAAAGTTTAAAAAAAAGCTGTCATCCGAGTTTGAGATGAAAGATCTTGGAGAGACGAAGAAGTTATTGAGTATGAAGATCGAGAGAAACATGACGAAGAGAAAATTGAAGTTAACACAGAGGAGTTATCTGCAAAAGATGTTGAAGAAATTCAGCTTTGATGGCAATGCAAAGGCAGTAAACACTCCATTGGCTCCCCACTTTAAGTTTTCAGCTTTGATGTCACCTGTTTTAGTTAATGACAGAGATTACATATCGAATGTTCCATATACTAGTGCGGTGGGTAGCTTGATGTATGCTATGGTGTGTATGATGCCAGACTTATTACAGACTGTGAGCATGGTATCCAAGTACATGCACAACCCCGGGAAGGGTCATTAGGAGATCGTGAAGTAGATTCTACGGTATATCAAAGGTACCGTGGATATTGATTTAATTTTTCAGAAGAATAAGAAGACAGGACAAGATTATATTGGCTATGTGGATTCAGATTATGCGGGAAATCTTGACAAGCACTGGTCTACTTCAGGATATGTGTTTACATTGACAGGAGCATCGGTATGTTAGAGATGTACACTTCAGTCTACAGTGGCTCTCTCTACTACAGAGACGAAGTATATGACGGTGACTGAAACTGTAAATTCTCCAAGAATCCATGCATTATTGGAGAACTTGGGGATATCACAGGAAACCATTCGGGTATATTGTGATAGTATGTCGGCTATTTATTTGGCGAAGAACCAGGTCTATCATGCACGCACGAAGCACATTGATGTCAGATTCCACTTCGTTCGTTATGTCTTAGAGGATGGAGATGTCATATTGGAGAAGATCCACACAAAGGATAGCCATGCGGATATATTGACCAAAGTTGTTTTAGGTGTTAAGTTTGGTCATTGTTTGAAGCTTTTGAACATTTTTTGGTGTTGAGGACTTTAGAGGCCATTTGGATGAACTATATAAGGTTTGATTCCTTGGGCAAGAGGAAACGTAGGTAGTCTTTATGATGCAGCCGGTTTGGATTACTTGATTTTGATGAGGGTGAGATTATTTGGACTCTCGTTCGGATTACCGACTTGTTATGGATTGAGTCCGTTGTCGTGAATTAACTTTACGGTATACTGAACACAATAAGTGGGACATTTGGTTGCTTTGGTGTCGACTCGGTTTTAAAAGAAACTTCACCGAGGTGGAGAATTGTGAGTGGGTCCCACGCGCAAAAGTTAGCAAGCCCCGCGCAATTGAGACACACCCACATGGAAGGCTAAGCACGTGGGGCCCACCCGAATTGATATGCTATATATATATCTTTTTGTAGCAGTACCTAGGGTTGTGCGCAAGGAAGAAAAAAGAACGGCTGAGTTTTCTCTTTTGGTTGCGGCAAGAAGAAAAAACACAGAAGGGGAAAAGTGACGGCATGGTGAAAACACAGAGGAAAAGAGGTGATTTTGAGCAGCCGTTTTTTAGGATTTGTGCATCCTTTTGTGTGAGTTTTGAGAAGATTGTTTAGGGTTTAATTTGTGTGATTGTAAAATCTATTTGTATTCTTTCTAATAGTTTTTCTTGCTGTGATTTGTAATAGCTTGTTAGTTCCCTCGACAAGTCAGTCCTAGAACTGATGAGAGGAAGAGTGTATATCCCACTTTGTTGAGACATATTACTTTCGGTTATTGTTTCCTTTGTGAAACAGGGATTTATTATGCAGCAAAGGTGCTGCCGAAATTTTCGTTGCGCACAGCACTACATGAATCCTATTCTTTCAATTCCGTTCAATATTCGGCCATTTCTTCTGTTAAGTCAACTATTATCATATCCTTTTATCCCTTTTAATTGCTTCTATCCAAGTTTCCTTAACCTCTAGATTTCTTTCCCCATTAACTATAACATTATCATTTTTTCCTAACCGATACGTTAAGAGTTCTCCATTGTACCATGACCAAACCACCTTAGTTAATTCTCTTTTTTTATCCTTCAATAGGAGCACATCGCATTATACTAGAAAGTAAAAAAATAAGCAATCTATTTACAAGTTTGATAAATTATAACCTACAGAACATAAGTTTGTTGAGAATAAAAAACATATGGATAACATTAAAAATTTTGATGCTTTAGAATTAAAAAGTTAGGAAGAATTTTGATAAAATTCAGAACTGCAAAACTGGAAAGAAAAACAAAGAGCAAAAACTACATTTGGTTTATAAAATTTTCTAATCCATTAGAGAAAATTTCAATCAATATATCAAATTTTTTGATAAAAATGTCATATTAGTGTAATTTAAAAAGTACAATAAAAATAAAGCTTAGACTTCAAAAAATCCCACAAACTTCTCAAAATTTCAAAGAGCTCTAGGAAATTTATGAAGAAAGAGTTTAGTACTAGGAAATTTAATTAAAACAGTTAACGAAATAACTATATATAGTTTCAAAAGTTTAGCTATAATTTTGTGAGAAGAGGAAAAATTAAATTAAAAAATTTTACCGAGTAATTTAATAGGTCCCACATTTTCATAAGCATAGGGCACAAGAAAATAATTTCACATACTTTTAGATTCAGAGAAGAAACTTCAGATTCATATTATCCAAGAGAATAGAAGAAAATAATTTCACATACTTTTAGATTCAGAGAAGAAACTTCAGATTCATATTATCCAAGAGAATAGAAAAGTTCAAATGTGAATACCTCAATATTAAATTAGAGTCAATCCGGTTCTAACCCGAGGCTATAAGGAAGAGTTGAGGAAGCCCCTTAGTACAAACTCAAAGGAGTGCCAATAAGTGAACATATACAACCTCAATAAATGCTTACACTGAACAAACTGCAATAAGGATAACTCAAAAAATGCACATTATAATAAGAAATTAATATTTAGAGTGCACGAGATGAATAAATGAGAGTAGAATTGATGTGCCCATTGTATCAAATTCAGATTAAGCTTACCTCTAAGTAAGTCCAACTGGATGTAAGATGTCACCCAAAAGACTGTAGAGTAACAAGCCTAGAAAAGAGGAGCTCACACAAGGTAAGCATCTAAAGTGCATGTGAATCACTAACGGGTAATGATAGTAAAATTAATGTGGCACAATGTATCAATTAGTCAATTAAGGAGATCCACAGTTAGTTAAGTAGTTAGTGGTGGTTAATTAAGCTTGATTGCAAATCGATTCGACAAATTTCAATGAGTAAGATAAGTTAAATATACTGCCGCCAAGTCTAAGCAATTGAATATGCTCCTGAATGAGGTTCAGAAAATATCTTATGATAGTGATAAGATGGAAATATATAATCTCATAATTTAACTTAGAATAACTGAGAGGAAACTTATGTAGTGAAACCCTTAGGGGGGTTAGTCATCTAGAACTTAAAACTGGAACTGGGATAATTTGTGGGATAAATTTTTAAGGTGTTAGTCACATAGAACTAGGAAATGAGATATTTTTTTATAGTGTTAGTCAAGTAGAACTTTTGTAGAACTAGAACTGTATTATTTTTTTGGTGCGTTAGTCAAGTAGAATTTTACTAGAATTAGAATTGGGATAATTGTTCATAATTATCCTACAAATTATACTACCTATATATATAACCATAAGTTCTCCTCTCTCAAATTATCCCACATATTAGAAAGAATACAATTAGGAAAAAAAAGTGAAACGCCGCCTCCCTCCCTCTTGGTTAGTTTCTCCGCCTAGAAAATTTCTCTGCCATGAAGTCAATCATCTGTTCATTTTTCTGTCTTTACTTTGTTTTTGTGATGATTAGATCTTTTATTATTATCTTCAAGATGTATTACTTTATTGATAGCTTTTTGACGTTAAATTACTTTATTATTATTTGTTTGATCTAAGTTTTCTCTCCACAACAGTGGTTTAGGTTAAGAATATAATGTTGGTGGGTTAGTGCTAAAGATATGCGGGCTATTTATGTTTTTTTAATAAGTTAGAAAGCAACTTTGCGATCACATTGATGATTAGATGTTGAATGGTTAATGGTGATATCTATTATTATTAAATCGGCTCAGTAAATTGATTGAGATATTTATAGTTCATCTGTCAATCATCTGTTTAGCGGCCATTGATGATTCATGTGTACATTTCATTTATTTGCTGATATGGTTTCAGTGATCATGATGAGATTAGTCCAAAGGGTTAATGGCTGAAAAATACTTATTTTTCTTTCTTTATGATGTTATAAGATTTGAACTTCGACATTTATGATCCTCCGCTAGAAGCTCCACGAAATGTTGCTGATGCAGACGATGACTCCGATAAAGAAGACGAGTTACAAACTCAACTAGCAGCTATAGAAGCTTGGAGAAATTCTATGGCAGATGTCATGTGGGATGATAGAAACCATGTGGGATGATGGAAGTCGAGTCACTCTAGGGATTTAGATTTTTATTTATTTGTAAATTATTTTATTATTTGAGATGAATAGTGATGCTTTATTGCATTATATTTTATAGTTATTACTAGAATTTTCTTATCAATATTATATTATTTTTAATATATAATTATTAACAATAGTAATTTATACTCACCATTACCCTCACCAAATTATCCTACCAAATTATGCAACTTTATAATATTATCCATCATTATCCTAGCAAATTATCCTACCAAATTATCCCACTTTAAAAATTACCCATCATTGTTTCATTAAATTATCCCAGTGTTAAAAAATTATCCCATTTTACCAATTATACCAGTTCTACTTAAAAAGTTCTATGTGACTAACCCCCCTTAGTATCAAATTTTGGTGGGTAATGATAAGCAGGAAATATATAATCTTAATAACCTTAAGGGCTTAGATGGGGCTACAGGATCTAAATCAATATTGAAGTGCATGCAAAAATTGGGGCATGACCCTCTACAAGTCTCTGGATCAACAACTAGGTCGCGGATAAATATCTGTAAGACTCTAGAATTGGCATCAGTTTCAGTTAGTAACTGAAAGTAGGTACTATAGACTATCTGGAAATCTATAAGAAATGATCTGATGTTGGATCACGTTAAGCTGTATTTTAAACATTCATAAAAGGATAAATAGATGAAACACATTTGCAAGTTTCCGGTGAGTATGAATAGGGCAACTGATATCAACATGCCTAACGAGACTAATATTATTGAGGACTGACTTCTCAAATGTGTGAGATCACCCGAGGGTAGAATTAATGAAGCACTTGATATCAGTTCACATAACTTGGGAAACCGATAACATGTGACAACTTGAGTTGATGCAAGTTATGATGATTAATGAGAAGTATGTAATATACAAGTCAATTTTGATGCTTTAAAGAAATACATTATTTAGAACGTAATTATAGAAGACCTTTCTCAGAAATAAAAGGAACAAGTCAAAAACAAGTTAAAAACGAACTCCGTAATTAAAAGGAACAAGATAAAAACACCATATTTTGTTCCAGTTTTTCAAAATTATTGAAATCAATTGGAAATTTCATAGATCAACAGGTTTTAAAAAATTCTAAAAAAAATTAATAAATGAAAAAAATTACTTTCAAAAATTAAAAAGACAAGACTTCAATTGAAATTTTAAGAGATGACTGTTCTTTCACAGAATTTTTTTGGAACTTCGAAAACATTAAGGTAGTGCTTGAAGCAATAACATAAAAGGCCTACGAGGAACCTTAAAACAAAATGATACACCAACTAATATAGAGTTTTAAAATTCTCATAAAGATTTTACTATTTTGAAAAATTGAGAAAACTATATGGGTATTTTGATTCAAAAAAATTAGAAACCTTTTACAAAGTGTAGTGTATATTTATTACTAGAAAAAAAATAAAAATGAAACAAACCAGGTATTTATAGTTTCAAATTTTGAGTTACGTATGTGCGTGTGTGTATGGAAAAAGAGTGTTAAGTTAAAACTAAGACAATACACCAACCAGTTTAACAATTCAAAATTTGTCAAAAATATTACATTCATTTGAAAGTAAATAAAACATATGCAAACCTCAGATTAAATTTCAAAATTCACAAAACAAGTCAGGATCATTGATACTATTTCCTAAAAAACTTGAAACTATTTGATAATGGCAACACAAACTATTTTATAAGTTCGATAAGGTTGCTGAAAATAACAGGTAGTAGAAAAAGAAATACCAAAGATCAAAAGAGTATTAAAAACAATTAAATAATTTCAAATTCAAGAACTTGGGGATTTTAAAAAAATTATATCAATCATAAATGAATAAATGAGTAAATGACTGGAAATACAAATTTTGAAACATTTAAAGGGAAAATCAGATGCAATTTACAAATCTGAAATGTTAAAGGACACTTTTTTCTTTTCGAGAAAAAAATCCTTGAGAAAAAGATGAAATTCTACAAGGCAATTTAAAAGAATCTATTAATGGCAAAATTTTATAAGCCATCTTGAGAAAAAGATGAAATTCTACAAGGCAATTTAAAAGAATCTATTAATGGCAAAATTTTATAAGCCAAAGGATGTCATACAAGATGTCATAGGAGGCAATTTAAAAGAATCTATTAATGGCAAAATTTTATAAGCCAAAGGATGTCATACAAGATGTCATAGGACGGGGGAATGGAAAAGTCAACTTGTATCAAGCTTTCTTATAATTAGTAACAAGTAACCAATACACTTCTCCCAGCAGGCCCATAGAAGGATTGACAATATAAAAGAATCTATCGATGGCAAAAATTTATAAGCCAAAGGATGTTATACAAGATGTCATAGGACAGTAGTATTGGAAAAGTCACTTGTATCAAGCTTTCTTATAATTATTACTAAGTAACCAATACACTCTCCCAGTAGGCCTATAGAAGGAAATTGATAAATTTAGAGGTACATAAAATGCAGGTCATCTATTCGAGATAGAAGATTTAATGAAGCTCAACAAATAGGTTTTGTTAAGAAATGATATGTACGGAACATACTGGAACATACTTTCTGTTAAGTTCAAAATATTGGTCGATAATGGACACAATCTCAACAAGCCTAAAAAGATAGTTGGTGACACAGAATAAATATCTCATATGCATGCATCAAATTAGTAAAGGTCATAAGTGAACCAAAAATTGGAAAGGTTCATGAGCATAAATTTGGAGAAGTAACCAGTCCATAGACAAAGAGATGGATGGTAATTTTGAATGAAGATTAAAATTGATCTCAACAAGCCTAAAGAGATAGCCGGTGCGACAGAATAAACATCTTATATGAACGCATCAAATTCACGGAAGGTCATCAATGAAAATCAGAAATATAATCAGTTAATATACACAGCAAATAGGTGCAAAGGAGATTGATGGTAATATTGAATCAAAGATTAAAATTGTCCTGCAAATAGCCCAAAACATTTTACACAGTTAAGAATTTGTACCAAGCTTTCAGTTCAAGATATTGGTTGATAATATACGATCTCAACAAACATAAAGAGATAGCTGGTGATACTGAATAAGTACCTCATATTTAAAAAAGGTAATCAGTCAATATATAAAAGATGGATGGTAATATGTAACTAAGATTAAAACTCATCTCAACAAGCCTAAAGAGATGGCTGGTGAAATAGAAGAAATATCTCATATGAACCTTATATTGGAAAAATAATCAGTCAATATACACTGCCAATAGGTGCAAAGGAAATGGATAATAATATTGAAACAAGATTAAAATTATCCTGGGAATAACCCGGAACTATTTTGAAATGAGATTAAAATTCTCCTGGCATAAGTATTTCATATATGGAAAGGTAATCAGTCAAAATACAAAAGATGGATGGTAATATTACCTTTCCAAAATAAATATTTGTCGAACACAAGGGTCATAAAATAAAA